ACATAAACTTGTTCCACAGTGTTTTGCTACAGATGGGTGATCTCCAAAATGTGCTGATGTGCTCTGCTAGATAAAGATCAGGATTTCTTTCTGGAATAACTCATTACAGGACAGACACACTGGCATTGCCTGCATTTCTAGGTAAAAGGCTTGATACTTTGCCATTTATGTTGCAGCCAAAGTAGACAAAAGCAGAACATACTTTTAAAATTGTTTCCTGGCATACAAATAGAGATTATGTAGTGTTATAATTTGCCCATGTATTATATTTTAATGCTATCAAACTAAGCTATATGATGGCAACCACTCCTGCTAATCTTGCATTCTTTATTCTTCAAACCCAACAAAAGTCATCTGTTGAACTCAACACTGAGTTATTGAGTCCAATTTTTGGTTGTTTTATTGTGTTTTGTTTGATTGATTGGTTTGGGTTTTTGGATTTTTTTTGTCTGGTTTAATTTTCCTTATTTAAAAAGCAATCAAGGTAAGAGATTTGAAGTGGTGTGATCACGTGTTCCAACAGAACAGAGTTGTTCTCCTATTTCTCTGCAGAGCATTCTCCTGTTTTTTATGAAGACCATCCTAAAAAACTGCTGATTAAAAAAAAAAAAAAAAGACGAATAATATATTATACTATCACCTTTGAAAAATTTGGGAGTTCAATTTAATTTAACAGTTGGACATTTATATGTCTCTGAAACTTGTCATAAATCTAAGACTGTGCAGCTAATAAACAGCAACAGGAAAAGTGGTCAATCCAAAGTACACGCATTCAGAGCATCCTGGCCTGCCTGTATCAACTTCTGTATAACCACATATGGAAAACTATCAAGCCTGGACTTCTAAAATGCCTGAGATAGAGCAGCTTTTGAAGCAAAAGCAGCAGCCAAAGTTTGTAAAAGCAACTGTCTAATTCATGTGTGTTTATACACACATGCATATATATGTATTTACAAACTGTATGATATGTATTCACACCTGATTCAGAAGAATGAATGGCAAAAGTGGTGTACAGTTCCTTTCTGAAGAACTGTCTGCCTTCACTGTTCACCCCTCTTCCCTCACCCTTGTCCTCAGACTGACCAGTCACATTTGCAGAGCTCAAGCCTTCACTAGCTCACGCTAAAAGGAAAACTTGGCATGATTTCCTTTTTTGTAACCGGGGCCCTTTCACTAATTTGCTTGACACAGATATGGTCCTGAGGAGTCCCTTAAAGGGATTTAGATCCCTCCCTACCACTGTCGTCCCTTGTCTTTTGTCCAGGTGCACACACTGCAACTGTCTTGTCTCAACAAAGTGGGTTCTTTTGTTTGTTCTATTTTAACTCCCAGGACCCAAATATTAACAGTTCTCGTAGGAGGCACCTAAGAGAAATGTATTTGCCAAATGGTGCTGCCTCTTTCCTTGGATATGGGAAAGCATTTTGTGGAAATGGGAAAACCAAATGAAAAAAGCCTGCCAGTTGCACACACCTCCTGTCTGCAAGCATCTCCACCCTGGGTACGTGGGCTGTGTTACTGACTCAGGGGAATGGGTTTAGAGGAGCCCTTTGTTGGAATATTGGCAGCACATCACTGGACTTGCCGTTGTTGCAGATGGAGCAACTTGCCGAACAGATGGATTCTCAGTTTTCTCAAAGAAAGGGAAGGTACTTGATGTACCACGGTGGGAAAGAAGGGAGGGTATTCCAGGCAGATGGAAAGGCAGGAAAGAAGGCACGTTCTGTGCTTTTTGGGGCACTTGGAACCTAGCAATCTCTTTCTGGCAAACTTGGGGAAGCATAAGCACAGCACTCTGTGAGAGGGCAAAGGGACTGTAACAGATGTGGAGGAAGTTATTTGCACAGAAGCAATGAAAATGGAGGCTGAGACTAGAAAAAGCCAGAGTGTATAACTGAGTATTATGTGCTAGGTATGGAAAGCGCTCCTGCCCTTCAGTATTAGAGGTGCACTCTATTAAAGCACAGGACTAGTGCCAGAAGAGCATAACTGGAAGAGAGGACTGATTAATATTTTAAGGTCTGTTGTGTTGTGGAAGAGGCTAGAGATAAATATCATCTGCCACTGTGAAGCCAGCAATCCCCAAGTTTCTGCAGTGTGTGCATTGGTTTTGTGATGGCACAGTTTGTTCAGTGGCTTGGATACTGCGTGGCATCTTGTCTCCTGCTGGTCTTTCTCCCCTCCCCATCTTACCTCACTTCCATCTTAATTGTTGGGGCAGGATCAGTCCTGTGCAGCACCCAAGAGCCTGTAAATCTGACTTGAAATCATGTTGTCTGATCCAATATTTACTGCTAAAGTCTTCATGCAATTGCCAAATGCAATTGCATGAGTGGAAAGAAGTGATCATACTTTGGTGTTTTGTGTTAACTCACTAAAACTTTTCAGTCACTTCATACACAGACATCAGAATTAGCAGAAATATACTTTATCATTGTATTATTTATGATTTAATAACAACGGAATTTTGCTTTATTTTTAACCCTCAGCTTAATTGGACAATTTCAGCATCTTAGAATGCAGACATTAAAGCTGTTTAGCTATAGTAAGGATGCTAAAGGCCTTGGAAATCGAGATTTTCCGGGAAATGAATGCGATAAAGAGCAAAAATGTTATTTCCAAGTGTGATTCACTGCTGAAAGCAGCTATGCAAAATTATCACTTTCTTAAATAATGGCTTTGGCTTTTGTTCATAGTCAGGTGTCTACAGCAAAAGAAATGTCTAAAGTATTTTTATGAAAAATAAAATTGCCTGGATTACATACCCACTTTTGCATCAATTGTGCTCAATTTTGCAGACTGAATTATCAGGGAGGCTATAAGATAAAATGAACAAGGAATTCCATCACTGAATTTTAGTATGAGCATTTTTCATATTGTTGTGTCTGGATCTCTGCCAAGTTTCAGCCCCATAATAAATTAAGTCCAACCCACACAAAGTAAGGAAATAAAAAAGAAGGGAAAACAACCCAAAAACTTCTACAAGGCAAAAAGACTAGGCATTTTTTATGGGAAAACCAGTGGCCAAGAATAATTTATTGGTAAAGTAATTATCTAAAAAGAGAGTGGGCTCTTCTCTCTAATTGGAAATGATAACATTTTCCAGCCTTACTAAACACAGCAGAGGATCATCATTTTGCTTCACCACCCTGGTTAAATTAAAGTTGAGAAGTTGCTTTCCTCTAGTTTTATTTCTCCTGACACCCAATACTGTAATTGAGCCCACTTCCCTTTATTTATGGCAAAATCTAATCTGGCTGCCACAGGACCTGTGAAAATCATGGAGGTGATGTGCCAGGTGATGAGCCAGGGTCTGCTTTCTGCATTGTATGTCTGCCTTATTTAATCTCTAGTCACCCTCAGATAATAAATATTTCATATGTTGGACAGGTGAAAGGTTTTATTCAGCTGCAGATCTGCTTCCACAGCAACTGATTCTTCTCATTTGAACAGTTTAAATGTGTTGAAAACAGAGCTTGCTTTCTATTTTTCTCCAGTGTGTTTTTATGTGTAATGTATTATTTGTTTTCTCCCTCCTGTCCCTCCTACAAGCAGATACAGAAAAGCCGACAGCATTAACAAGTAATTCTAAACAATTTATAATCCAAACAAATTCTCTCTTCCAGTCAAAATGGGATGAAAAATGTCATTTCATTTGACAAGCACAGAGTAAATATCTAGAGATATGAAATTGCCCAGGTTAGCATCTATAAATACTCTGTATGCAAAAAATGCATGCAATCACAGTACTACTTTATGTTTTACAGTATATTTCTCCATTGCTACTGAGTGTTTCCTCAATACCATTGTTCACCAATTCAGTTAATAGAGTTGGGTTTGAATTTGGGTTTTTCTGGGGGGAAGGGGAGGCAGTATCCCAGGTCTTTCTCTAAGAAAGATTTCCTTCTCTCAGGAAAGCTGCTGGCAAAAAGCCAAAGAGAAATGTCTGCAACCATATCTGATTTCTGCCAATGTTGGTGCTTGTGACGGATCTTCTGGAGCATGTCTGCTGCATCCTTTGCATGTTGCAGCAGAAGGAGCTCTTTGGAAGCATAGCTTAGCTCATTCTTCCTCTGCACATTTCACATGTAGTGGGCAGCTGCTGTCCCTCTTACTCTCAGGCCATCCTCACATCTGGACTCTCTGACACAGGGCATGCTGTGCCCTGTGCCCACCCCCATACCTCTGTCTGCAAACAAGGCTGGTGGGTCACAAAGCACTTCCCTTGCCTGCCTGCTGAGTCAATTGTGACTTGGTGCAGTGGTGAAATTTTGGTAGATAGGCTCCAAGGAAAGGTACTTTCTTTCCCTCTACCATCTCCTGCAGGCTCAGAGACACTTTTCCTTGCATCTGACCATCTGTGTGGATGTTCCCTTGATGCAGTTATGGCAGAATGGGGACATTATTTCGTAAGGCACACAGCTGTCTTAGGAAATAAGTTAGAGAACACATCTCAGGGTATGATTTAGGAGTTTCAGATGTGATGGAGAACCATGCATAGGTGGCTTATTTGATCTTCTCTGTCCTTCTTCTATTTACTGTATAGGTTCCTAGTGATGCTGCATTTGGGAATTAGGACGTTCTAGATCGGTTTGGAAAAACTGACATGACATCATGCACAACTGCTATTTTGGCTTTAGGGGAGATGGAAAATGGGTACAGCCTTTGATAGGTGTCTGTGTCTGTGCCTGGTAGCTCTGTGGCAGATCCCCCTGTTAGAAACAATTGAACTGTATCTGACCTTGCAGCCCTCTCCCTTCTGTTTCCAGGCATATAGATTTTAGCCAGCAGGTCTCTGGTTAACCCCTCCTCAGTGTTGTTTATTTCCTGCCACTCCGCAGACACACCACTGAGCATTAAGTATGTGAACTCAAAGACGCTCCCTCTCTCCTGAACGGTCTTAATAGCAAACAGTCACGAGCTGGGCTTCTCCAGGCAGAATTTCTACCTAAGAGACATAGGTTCCAGGAATATATGCCCTTTCTCTCAACCCTTTTCAGACTTCATTAAAAGCATCCACTTCAAGAAACTACAACTGTGTTTATTCAAGCTTTGAATTTGGAAGTCGTGCCGGGATCCCTGCCACAGCACGCTTGAACCGTGAAACCCAGGTCAGTTCCATTTTTTGGTTTTCATGTACTGGCAATGCGCTGCAGCTGCTTGAGCTACCAGGTCTCTGTGGAAGCAATGCTTCTTTTAACATGCAGAAAACATCATATTTGATTTTATAACCTTACCTCTTGTTGTAGGTTTCGGGTTTTTTTGTACTACTAAACAAAATGTCAGGGTGGCATGTCAGTGAACATAATGCATTCAAAAAGAATCATGCTGACAGGCTCGAAAACTAAATGCTCTCTTTTAAACAGGCAGGAACAGCTCTGATTTTCCTTCCTGCCCACCAGGCTATACTTGGACTTGAGAAGAGAGCTGTGCTTCATCTCCCTGTTGCTCTGTCACTGTGACTGCTGGCTATTGCACTATATAATGCAATCTTGGGTTGTGAGATATGACCAGTTTCAATCAATGTTCACTGAGGTTGACTTTGTGACTCAAAGGCTACTGACTCAATAGCCCATTAGTTTTGTCAGTGAATCAACCCTTTCTCTCTCTTCAAGCCTTCTCTGGTGTTGAGGAGTTTGTGGGTTTTTTCTATTGCTAGGGAGAAGGATGCTGGGTTGGGTATTGCACTGAATGGAGCTGGAGGGGTGCTACTAAGTTTGCGTGAGGCACTTTCTGAAAAGTGCCTTATTTTTATTAATAATTCTACTCTAGAGCTCAGATTTCAAATTCACACAGAATTTGCATTTCTGAAACTTCATATGAGTAGTCTTTTACTGCAAGATGGATTTGCAGAGAGAAAATCAAAGTTAACAAAATTTGGTACCTGCAATGTTTGTTTCCCCCAAATGTGCATTGGAAAACTTTGTTTGAAGGCACAGTACTGTTTGTCTGCTTATTGGGAAAAGATCTGGAGGCAGCAGTGCTTTATGCAAGTAAATTTGTTGGTGTTTGACTCGTGGTTCTGCCTTCCCTTTAATTCCTGTGCCCTGATCCCTAGTGATTGTATGCTTTGATGTTGCTAGAGTGCTCTTGGAGTAAGTGCTCCTCTCAGTGAAAGTCACGCTGCTGTTATTTTTTAATGTTTCATACAATGGTGAAGAATAATCTGGAATACACCCAAACATGGGCATTTCATCACCATGAAGCCTGCAGTTAGGGCCATTGTCCCATTCAGTCACCAAATAAGAGTCTGGAGAGCAAATACCATGTCCAGCTCCACATCTTCTCTGGCTCTTCTGTGGTATGTTCAGTTCCTCTGCTTCTAAGCATACTTTCCTTTTTTCCAACTTTTTTCCTTTCTGCATTTGTTCCTTGCTTAATTATTTTAGGTCAAGTCTGCAACAGCTGGACAGAATGCATTAAAGACAAAGGTCTGTGATTTTCCTGTGGCAGAAAAATTTGTATAAAAAGATAAATATCTTTTTGGGTGTTATATTTGTCTAAGACAATGGGAAGATAGGTTCTGAGTGGCTGGAAATGTTGTAACTGCACTATTAATGTTTAATTACTATTGGCAGCCAAGAAATGCCTTTCTGGATTAAGCAGACACTCAGCTTCTGAGATGTGCATAGGTGCAAGAAAGTGATAAAGCTCATGAAACCTCACCTCTGGGAACATGTAATGGGATCTTTCTTGTGATATGCAAATTATGCTGCCAAGTTGCTGTGTAAACAATTCATGGGAGATGTAGGGAGAGGTAGTTAAATAACTGGATCACATATCAAAGATAAAATCTATCACTGGGAATGGAAAAATATGTTAAAATAGTGATTTTGCTATTAGAAATAAATAAATAATGAACAGAAAAAATCTTTGCCCAAAGCATATAGCAGCACTGAAGAGTAAATAGAAAATGATTTATCACAATTGTTGCAGTTCAGAGTAAACAAGTATTTAGGAAACCAGTGTGCACAGTTTGTGAAAACCAAGACTTTTCCTAGTACAAGTAGTCTAGCCAATTATGCTGGTGGGTTTCTTTTTCTTTTTTTGGTTTTTTTTGGTAACTGAGAAAAGAAAAGATTACTTCGCAAATGTTAATTTGGTTACTTTTCAGGCAGAAGATATGCACTGCTTACTTTTCAGTGATAAAACCAATCCCATCATTTCTATTCTGGGCATGAGCAAAGATCTCAGGCAGCCCAGCAAAACATATTTCAGGGTCATATATAGCCATAGATCAATGAGTGTGAGCAAACTGTATTGACACCAGCAGAAGCTGAGCTCATGCCTTCAGCCTGAGTTTCTCATTTTTTGTATTTTACACTGTATGAGGGAAGGATTCCACATAATAGCACTCCTCCAATAAATCAAAGATTACTCTTTCACAAATGATACTGAAGCCTTCATTGATTCTCTGTCCAACTTCACTGTTCTTCCACAGAAGTCAATTCCTGTAGCACTTGTCTTCCTTCAGCCTTTTCCTATATCTGCTGTTCATTTAGGCTCTGATGTAGCTCAGCTGAAGCCCAGTGAGAAGCCTCATATCCCTCCTTAGTGGGAACTGCAACATGTGCTAGAGTCCTAAGGGGCCAGCAGCAGAAAATTTAAGAAGGCAGCAGGGAATATTAAAGCATCATGAGTCAAGGGAAATGGTTTTGACCTGCGACTTTCTTTTGTTTTGCTTTGTAGCAGGAATGATACTCTAGATAGAATTGTACAGTCACAATAAACAGATCCCACATTCAACAAATGTATTGAATTCTGTTCTATGTTTAATCACCAACAGAAACTATGTCAGATGATCTTCCACCAGGAACAATATCTCCTAATTAACAGTAATTAAGGTATATTATAACTACAGGATATGAAACTAGATGGATCTGTCTCTTGACATTTCATATTTGGATTTTTTTTTCCTGCTAAGTCTCTTAATATGCTCCAATTAATGCTAACAGAGGCCAGGCCATTCTCAGTGATGGATCTGCATACGTGAATCTTAGTACCACTGAGATGAGATGAAGCATGAATCTTTCCATCATTAAACTCCCCTTAGAAACATGAATGAATTCCAATTAAACTGAATTTACTAGCAGAAATGTTGATTATGAGCTAAGGGTCAAAGCTTGATTGTGTTATCCTGTAAAGTGTAAAAACCTGTGCCAGACATGACAGGAAAGTCGAGTGGCCTGTCTGCAGAATCTTCAGAAGTTCTGTAGCCGTTCATAGCAGGTATGGCATTTCTTTTCATTCACTGAGAAGTCATACAAAACTGTTTTGTTCAGGCCCTATTTGAAGGAGCCGATTTTTCATTTTAGTGCCCCAAAAAGGTTTTATCATTCAGAAAATTGTTGCTTCTCTTTCTGCACTGTGACAGACACCCAGTCTTCACCAACTGATAAGCATTTGGAAACCTAATCAGTAGTAAAGCTGAGGTATAGTATTTGTGTAGATAGCTTAACAATTAAGATGCTTAAACTATTCCTGAATGAAAGGAAATTGCCATCTTTAAAGAGAGAATTTCCTAGCTCAGGCATTTCTGGCCGTGTAATTAAACTAAATACACCACTTCCTTGCCCCTAGCCACATTTGTCCTAAAGAAGATTAACAACATTGAATTTCTACCCAGGCTGAAATCTTGTTTGTACCCTGAAATATGGACCCTGAAATAACATGACAGTGTACTACAACTCCATCTGGTGACTCCTCCCAAACTCAGTGATGCTTCATTGTGTGCCAGTGATGCCCTTTGCAGTATCTCCAATCCATGGGACTCAGGCCACTATCTCCAATCCATGGGACTCAGTTCATTATTTCAGAGATGAGTACAGAACCACAAACCAGGTTTCTGCAGAGTTTACTATGGTGTGAAGATATTTGTCTGAAGTAATCTATTAAATGTCATAGAGCATATGCAATCAGATCTTGCATAAAACACTGGGGGAAAAAAAGATGAAAAGCCTGTTTTCCACACTATTCCACTGAGCAACTCTATTATGATCTGGCCTTAATTTAAGTGATCTACTGTATTTATGATTGCACAATATAATCATGTTCCTGGGATTGTTATTTCTTTCTGTCATTTATTTTTAGCTACCTCAGTTCTCTGAAACTTCTTGAAGAAAATATTTCTTAGATTTACTTGAATTGTGTTCTCAAGGACAATTGTAATTCACCTTATCTGATTGAGAAATGGCATGATTACAAACTTTTAGTTTTCTTTTAACATACCAGTAAATTTTTTTTTTAAAGTCTCATATTTTGCCTGCATCTTACATGCCCACACTTGCTTGATCACATGCAGGAAATATTTTTGTACACTGGTGCTTTGCATGACTATGAAAGGAGCTGTAGATAGAACAAGATGAGATACAGGCTCAGTAATTTACACCTGACAGAGTGTGAATTTCATTGCAAGTGCTTTTAAAGGAAACTTGCTATTTTCTCCACGTTCAGATAAACAGTAATTCCATAGGAAAATGTGATAATTGAGTTTGTTTTGTTTGTTTTGTTTATTCCACTCTGCTTTAGTATTGAATTTATGGGGGAAGAATATTCCTCAACCTGATGCAATCCTGTGTTTTCTGCAGGCCCAGGTCATGGTCCTGTGATGCTGGACATACCCCATAATCAGAGAACAGCCTGACTAGGCAAGATTAATAAAGTCTGGGATAAAGAAAGTATAATCAGACCATTTCATGGGTGGGGGATCAAGGTATAGATGGTTTAAATTACTTGCCAAAGGTGTGTTACAGAGCTATATGCGGAACAGGAATCTCTTGGATCCCTGTCAAGTTTCTTTTTCATTTCTAGAGAACTGAAGACCTGTATTTGTTTTGGCTGAATTTCAGTTTGGATAAGTTGGAGGACATTTGGAAGCAGAAGGGCTCTATTAAGTCTTTCCCACCAAAAGAAATATTAGTAGACAATGAAAAGAATAACAAATGGGATCCATTCAAAGTGCTTCACTTGCCATTGCTCTGAGCTTCAGGCAAGAAAGTACATAGAGGTCATTTAACCTGACCACTTATATATCAGAAGCTGCTAAGGTCACTTAGGCACTCCTAAATTAAACCATATATTTTAGACGGAAATATAGTGGTCTCACAAAGCA